TGGGGCGGGGCGTGGTGGGGCACGGCGTGGTGAGGCGTGCTCTTCTCGTGCATGATTGATGTCGGCCGCACGTGTCGCCATCGTAACGCGCCCTCTCAAACACGATCATTCGAGATATCGCTTTCGAGGTCTCGTTTCGAGTGTTGCAAATGACCGGCATCATCGAGCGAGCTCGGAGGTGAGTCGAGGTCCGTGGTGCGACGCCGACGACGATACATGCTCTGTTAAAAACGAGGAGGCCACCACTCGCGTAATCCTGTGTACAAATGAGGATGTAATCCTTATCTATTCCGTGTAATCCATGACCAAATTTTAAAACATTATCACTAAATTTCGCCTTCTTTTCCAAATTTGATGGTTTTAGAGCCTGAAATTCAACAAAATTCATGTGTAATCACTCACAATTCACGTGTAATCCCTGTAATCACGTAAATCCTGCGTACATCTTCAATCGATGTGGTGGCCCCCTCGGTTAAAAGTTCTCTTTTGCATCACACGCGGGACAAAGAGTGCGCGGTGGGGCTGCTGCCTCCGCATCCGTAGAGTTCCTTGAGGCGCACAGCCGAGCTGGTAATTGGAGTGATATTTTCCTCTGACGAGCATCATCGACGAGTGATTGGGAATGCCTCGCGCGCACTGCGGTCCGAGCGGTGCGTGGGAGGATGCGGCCGGGGTGGGGTGGCGGCGGGGGCAGAGGGGCTCCTAGCACGGAGTCCTCCTGGAAACCGGACCTGGGCTGCTGCCCCCGGGCCTGGTAGAGCCCGTGCAGCAGCACGCGTTCCCCCAGACAATTACAAATGGGTAACAACCCGCTCAGAAATAGAAGATGCCCACGATATTTCCGGATAAGCGGGCACAGGCGGTATATGACATCGGTACCGCCGGTACTGATCGGATGAAATGACTGAGGCCGTTACAATGTGATTATTCTCCCGTGGAGGATCACCGTCCCAATTACCATACCTCCCTGTCAGTCGACTGTTTTGTAATTTAACAGTTTAAAATCGTATCTTTTCCGCCAACACTTTCTCATGGAAAATGTTCCAGTACAGCCTACAAGAAGAGTTTTGTTCACTGATGTCAGAACCAGATTTATGTGAGTGTACCGCAAGAATTCATGAGTGTGGCGTGAACGGCGTGAACCCTTTCTGGAGGCCGCACGCATGTACCTGCCAACCACCCCTTGCCGCCCCGCCTCCACGGAGGCCTCCGCCCGGGACCGCCCGTCAAATGTGACGCAAGTATTACGAACCCATTAAAATGTTGCACAAAGCAAACGCGAACCGAGTTATTATTCCAACTCTTCATTTTATTTCAAGCCTGAAAGGTAAAATATGTGATGCGAAGAAGAGTTTTACACGTTTTGCGCCTTCACATTCAAGTCCTATTTTCTATCAGTGTTTTTCTTTTCTTTTTTTAAAATAATTCTTTAAAATAAAAAGTCGAAATGAAAAGATCCACCTTTTAGACAGGAAGCGCGCTTTTGAGAGGAATTGCAACTTAATATAAACCTATCTACAGCGTCTTCCGGGAGTGAAAATAATAAAACGACCAGGGCGAACGCAGGCGCAGCGATCCCTCTTATTTCATTTCATTCCGACTAGAGAAGAGATGGAGAGAGAGAGAGAGAAAGGGGGAAGGGTCGCAGCCGGCCCGGCTCTGGCCCGCCTGTTGCGATGACCAACTTGATTGGTGCGTTGTTTTACGACTCGCCGGCTCCACATTTCCCTTCTTTCCTTTCGGCTCATCTCCTGATTGGCTTAGCCTAGAGGTGGCCCCCGCCCTCCCCCTCCGATTCCAACTCATTCCACACCGTGACTATAACACCCCGCGATATATATTTCCCATTTGCTCTGTGCGTAATTATGCCCC